GTAGGGGGACCGGTACGTATGCGAGGCCTTTCCCTGGGGACCCGCGCCACCAAAATGTTCGGCCCGGCTCCAAAAAAAGGCCCCCGGCTGCAGAGCTGCTGCTTGAAAAGGTGCATCTGCTTCCTACCTGGTTCCTGGCCCGGTTTGATTTGAGCGTGTGGCAGGGCCTTCCCCAAAGCCACCCTTAGCCCCCGCTACAGGCTGTACGTGTGATGCGGGTTACTGGTGAACGGTGCAATGAATGTGGACCCGCCACACCGCAAAGTAAGACGGGACTTAAGTGTGAAGTAATTATCAAACAAGTAAGTGCTTCATGATGGTGCAATACACTTTGAGTGGTGGGGGTGCAAGGTCATTGTCACACCATAAAAATGACTGCTCAGATCTAAAAAGAGCCAACCAGCTCCAATGTTAGTGCTTGAAAAAGTGTAACAACTTTGTAGCTGGTTCCTCTCCAGCTGTAATATGGAAGTGTGGCAGGGCCAAAGAATAAGCTCCCTAACACAGCGCTGTGAGAGAGTCTGCATGGTGAAGTCAAGGAAAAAGCTATTTATTCTCCAGCACTACAGGGCTAAGGAACTCTGCCCCAATCCTGCTCTTCTGCTGGTTCTTGCATTTCCAGTCTTCTCTCAAACATCATAGCTTCTCTTTACATAATCTGGTCTGTAAGTGGAGATGCAGCCCTATGCTTGCACCATAACTAGGGATCTACCCAAATCAAGGAGGTAAGCGGCCTATTTCAGGGGCAGATCATAGGGCCAGCTGCCATTTTACAGGCTTATTGCTGCACATCCCCCCCTCCCCACAGCTCTGATTGGCCGAGGGGCCCCAGCGGTTCCACCCCTCCACAGATTGGCTGATGGACCAAAACCATGGCATAATTACCCTAATTAAGTGAGAAAGCCATTAATTGGTGCATTATTAAGCACTCTAAGCATTGAATTAAACTCTAAACTGAAATGTCTTATGAAATTAAAGCTATACACAACATGAATTGTAACTAATACCATCACTGTGCTTTATTAAATGATGTTGTAAAAAAAAGTTTACTCAATGCTTACCTTGAGACAGGCAATTCATGCTAGCTGTTACACACTAGCATCCAGCAGCAGTTGCTGTGGACAGTCTCTGTCTCTGCAGGGTTAACGCTTTCTGTACACTGGGATGACACGCTCAGTATCCACTTTGTTGGAATGGTAAGGCAGCATTTTGCCAGGGTGTACAAGATGTGGAAACTGGGCACAGACAGCGTTCCAGCACAGGCACAGGCATCCAGCACTTTTTGACAAAGTTCATGTAAGCAGTATATTCCTTGTCATGCTCTTTCTGCCATCCAGGGATTGATTTCAGTAGCTGAGGTTCACAACTCAGAACAGGCACGTGGCTGGGGTCCAAAATGTGAACAGCACCAAGGAAGGCCAATTGTCTGAACAGTGATTGGTCGTACCTGTAGTATGGGTTCAACTTCACAGCTACTGCCTGGGACAGGTCCCTTCTCTGCTGGTTTTCACGATGACAGTTTTACAGTTCTTGTTACGCCATGTCTTCAACCCAACTTATCAAATCTATCAGCTTGTGTGTGTGGTGGATCACAGCCTGCCGCCCTTCAAGCTATGTTAGAAGCTCCATGATCTAGGTGACATTTTTCACCACAAATTTCACTTGATCTTGAACATCTCCCTGTTCCAGGAAATCATGAAGCTTAAGCATGCACTTGTGTGCTGGGTGTGATTTTCAGCTCCTCACTCACAAACTGCTAGTAGTATTGCATATGCTTGGTGTGGTAAGAGACCATGGTGAACCACAAATTTCACCTTGTCAGCACAGGCTCTGGTGGCAGTGACACAGCTGCATGCAAGTCCCCACTTTGACTGGCGAGGGACTCCCTGTACCAGAGCTTATGGCTTGGACAGTGCTTGAAGCCTTTATTGAAGGAGGATACCAGGCTATTCACAGGGAACTGTGTCAGATGTCTCTTACTAAAGACAGAATGTGTGCATTGCAGGTGACATGAACTGCATTGGGCAGCATTCTTTGGAGCACATCTGAAAAAGCCTTGCACATATACAAGGCATTGTCAGACAGAAATGCTGACATCTTGTTAAATTCTTAGCCTTAGTTGACAATAGCCTTCACTATAGCCTGAGATATGGTAGAAAAATTGACAGACATAAGGTGGACTGGCTCTGTTTGAAACAGGCAGGTCCTGGTCTGTCCAGCTCTCAGGTACAAATAAAATGTGTAGCATATAGTTATCCTGAGGCTCAGTGGCTTCATCAGCCACAATGGAGAAGGATTCATACTCTGCCAGTGCAAACCTTGTGGACTGTAAATGTAAAGCAGTCGCTGCAGGGAAATAGTCTTCATAAAGCTTGTTTGGACGTGAAAACTGCCAGCATTTGGCACATTTTGGTTCAGGTAGTCCCTTAGCTTTGGGTGATCAAGTTTCTCCAGCAGGATATTCGCCGCCACGTATGCATGAGGGAAAATGCCGCCACTCGCCTTGCCAAGCTGTTTTCTGTAGTCCTTTTAAAGAGTGGAGACATGGTTGCAGGTGTCTTGCTCTGACCTTTAACCTCTGCAACAGCCTTTCACTTCATATATGCCTCAGACTCCAAGTGCTGATCTATACTGGTTTTCCTCAACACATCCAGAGTCACATTGCAAGCAGTAACAGAACAGCCTGCCTCCATCTACATGCAAGGTCCCTGCAGGATACTGCCTTCCACAGTCTATCAGTGAAACGTATTTGGCTGTCTTGGAGGATTTCTTCTGTGTTCATCCCCGCTCAATCCTCATCTGACTGCAGCATGCTTGAAAGATGGCACCAAAATCCTTGTGTGTCCCTGACTGGCCCCAGACTGGCTCCTGTACTGAGTCTATGTCACAGGCTCAACCTTTCATTTGCTCCCTCTCCCCACCCTCTCCCCCTGTGCTTCCAGACTTCAGGGCCTCCTGCCCTTTTCTCTGCTTGCTAGTAAGTTGGGTTTTTTCCCCCGGCAGCAAGCCCACCAAAATCACGGAGCCCACCATTTTTTGTGGAAAACACCTGATTTTGTGTTTTCTGCAAAGAACATGAAATCGTGATTTTGGTAGGCCCTGCCATAACTACGTCCCTCCCTCCCAAGTTATGTTACTAGAACGACTGCAAAGCTTCACTGAGTGGCTGTACTGCCAGAACACAGTGCGCCCTGTGAAGACACCAGAGGTTAAATGGACCACAGAGCTGGTTGAAGATGTTGGAATGTCTACACACCCTTTCAGCTGCATGCTAAATGGCAGCAGAAGCTTGACCCAGCTTAGCAACATGGAGAATCTCCTCTAGCAGTTCAGAGGGTTTTGTTACTTTGGAGGGATTCTGATTTTTGCCAGTTGAACTTTATAGAGTAAGCCTATATCCCTTCACTGTCAGCCTCATATCTTCTTTCATGTCACCCTTTATACTTAATATAGCTTCTCACTTATGTTTCCCACTTTCCCTGTTGCTATGTAATCAGTTTAATTAATTACATCATTTTATTTATATATGATTTAATTTAATCGTGTCATTTAATTAAAACATACTTTGCAGTTAAGCATTTTCTTTCAGTTTTGGAAATCCTAATGGTGATGGATCAGTGAGCGAGACCTGAGAAATGCTCTGGTTCTGGAAAAATGAAAGTAAGCAAGAGTCCTAAGCTGAGGAGATTTATGTGCAATTAACTTGTAAGTAACTTCAGTTATGAGATCACTCACATTTAATATATATTTAATATATATTTAAATAAATAGAATACTTAGCAAAGTAAGCAATACATTTGGTAGTATTGGCAGAATCAAGGCTTTAGACTTGTAAGATATAGCTTGCAATGTTAATAGTTGAAGAAGCTAGTAAAATAAGTTTATTTTCAGTTTACAATGTTGTGCCTATAATAGCAATACAAGTTATTGAAATTGGTTACCTGGAATCAAAACCAAAAAAGGGATGGTGGGTTGGTCTTTACTGAGATTTTTATCAGTAAAAATATTACCGGGCACATCTACATGTGATATTAATGCAACACAGTAAACTCCAGTACAGTTCGCACTGGAGTTTATTGCGCTTGGGCGCAGTGTTTACGAACGCGCCTGGAGCAAGAAAATGTTCAGC